TTAGCAAGATAGCAGGCAAAAGCAATAGCAAAAAATGCCACAGTCATTACCATTATTTTGCTGTTGAACTGGTGCATGATTGAGTGAATTCAAACGACCACTTAGAAGATCATTTGTTTGATCTACCACTTCCTGGCAAATGACATCTTGATAGAGACTGTCGTATAAATTTGCATCAATGGGTTGGCAGCCAATATTACTGACACACACCCAATGAGCAGAACCTGTATGTAAAATCTGTTTAAATTCACCAGACACTACATCAAAATTACGATTGGAATCCTTCAATTAACTGATTTTCCTCGTGCGGCAGTACCTGAGCTTTTTGTACGATGTCACAAGTGAGTCAGCCAGTTGGGTTTAAAATAATTTGGTAGTCAGATGTTGTAAGATTTGCAAGAGGAGCTTGCTTGTTAATGTCACATTTAACAAAATTGATTACTGTGACATCATCGTCTACTGAATCTTCAGCTTTGCTGTCACTGCTGGATTCACTCCCAGAGTCAGCTGCCATGGCTAATTCTTGTAAAGAAGTAGAAGTGGTAGGAGGTCTAATCGGAACAAGAGGGGAGGGAGTTTTCTTACAGAATTTGCAGCACCAGGTTGTCTTGGCATTGTTTGGCATTCTCTTTAAACCAACACAGCTGAGGTGGAAAAATTTCCCATTTGTGCAATAACTGTTATGACACTCTAATAACTTGTCAGAAGGTGCTGCCTTTGATTTACATGTACAGATCGCATTTAGTTGGAGAGCAGCTTGGCAGGCTGGAGGTTGTTTTGGTTGCTGCTTTTTCTTTTGCTTGAACTGGAGCAACCGAAAACAGTGTGGACAGTACCATAACTTTGGTATTCCAGCTACACAAAGAGACAAACAGGAGGTGTGAAATTGTGCATAGGGACATTCCACATTACTGCAGGTGATCACATCGTTGTCTGCTGGTGTACGACAATAGCAGATTGCATCCACAATAGGCTTGACATCCGGAGCATGACACCTTGTATACCAACGTCCTAGTATCTCAGGGAGGATGCATAACCTCCAAAAGGTATTTAGCCTAGGAAGGACGGTGTGGTGGTGCTGCTGCTTATCAGGGAAATTCCTCTCTGTTACTATTACTACCCTGTTATTCACATTGTCAGTGGCACAAACAACAAAATCACAGTGTTTCCTATCTTTGAGAGTAAAGAGTTGTTGTTGTACCTGATAGTAATAGTTGGTGCTTCTGATGAGCTTGAAACTGCCATTTACCTTTTCCAAGCAAGAGGACTTCTCAAGGGCATACTTATCAAAATCACAGTCTTGGATAGACATTGGACATTTGACCTCCCCGCAGCCCAATCCACAACAATCACATGAACTCAAAAAGTCAGGTGAGGCATGGAGGATGGGATGCTGTGAGTTCATAAAAAGTCCACACTTCTCAACCTTAAAATGAACATGCTTGGTTGACATCATTTCAACACATGCTTTAATTGCAATATCTTCATACTTGCAACCATGCTTGATTGCCTTTGTATTTACCTTGAACAAATGTAGGTAACAAATAGTTCTTATCGTTGAGTGCGGAGGCTTTGCTAAGTGCATAGACGCCCCAATTCTGCCTGCCCGATGTTGATAAAAACTCGAGCATTTCGCCTGAGAGCGCGTGTCTTTTTCTACTAGCGCAATGTTCTCCACAGTTAATTCAAGTTTCACGGCTATGCATTTCCTCAGCAAGTCAGGATAGTTTAGATCGAGGTTTTGAGTCTCATATAAGTCTTTAATCAGACGAACAGCTCTACTTCCTACTACAAACTGGCCTCCGTAATCATCCTGCAAACTCAGTGCTGCAGGCTTAAAGCTACACTGATTTAGCTTCGCATAGAACGCAGACAGTTCCTCTGTTGTGGGGCGACATTTTTCGACCTCATCATCCTTAACAAATAGATCGGATCGGTCACCAATTAAGTCCGCTTTGCAGTCTGGGGTTAAAGTATATATTTTCCCATCTATATTTTCCTTGAGCTTCCTGGCTGAGCTGAAATCGATGTCTTGCACTGGCGCGTAATTTACTTCACTGACATGAGTAGTCAAAAGCCATGTGCATTTTACGCTGGTACATGCTAGCTTTCCATGAATTCGAGTCAATGCCTCAATATAAAACATCACGCTTGCATAAGCGTTCAAACTTTTGTAGGCCTTGAATTCTTTTCTCGTATAATGGCTTGTTTCCAGAACCAAGACATTCCCGTTAAACTGCTCTTTCGGGATGCTGGCCGGGTCGACTCCGATAACAGATATTTTTGCTAAATATCGCTCTTCAACTCGAGTTTCCAGCCGTTTCACGTAATCTGAAAGCACTGGGATAGCTTTGCTGAGTTTTTCCGAGTCGTCTTCGAATTCAGAATCCATTAAGAGGTCGCAAGATTATCAGAGAATTAAGGAATCTAGAAATGGCATAATATTTCCCTCTAATTTACAAGTGATAACACGCTTCGAGGGACACCAACATGTCGGATCAAGTAATTTGCATAATCTGTGACGTCACGTGAAAAGCAAGAATTTTCTGGTGGTGTTCATTGTAAGTAATTGTTTTGGAAGAGCCAATAAACTTGGAACTTGGAACTTTCTGATAAAAGGAAAAACAGGTGTGATTCCCATGGCTCTGAGACCATCAATCTGATGGTCTATGTTGCACTGAGCCAGAGGAACAGTGTATTTGCCCAACATGGCCTCTGATATCAATCAAATAGCCGACATGTATGAAACATGCCAGGAAAAAAAACCACGAAATCCACCAGAACCACTCATGCAGCACAGTGATGGCGACGAGCCGTGGCAAAGGCTTGGTATTGACTTATTTAAAAGTGCTAGAAAGCACTATTTGGCGGTGGTAGATTACTACTCAAATTTCATCGAGATTGATTCACTCACAACGATGACAAATGTACGTATTGTAGCATTACTCGAGAAACATTGAGCTCGTTATGACATACTGAGAATGATTGTGTCGGATGGAGATCCGCAGTTTACCAGGCAGGGATTTAATTCATTTGTCGAGGACTGGGGTATGACTCATGTTACCTCATCACTAATGCACCAGATAGCCATTGGAAAAGCAGAATCTGCCGTTAAAATCATGAAATCTCTTCCCGTAAAATCCCATGAGGAAAGGGGGGGGGTCCTTATGAGGCGATGTTAGAACAAAGAAACACCCTTCGTCAAGACACTGGTCTTAGTCCAGCAGAAATGATGTTTAACAGAAGAACACGTAGTTTCCTGCCTAGCATAAGCGGTAGCCTAAAGAACCCCCTTGTGAAAGAGAAGCGGGAGGCACGTAAGCGCAGTATTAAGAAAGCTTATGACCGGAGGTCCCGAAGGCTCTCAGCAATAGTCAACGTTCTTCCAACACACTGAAGCGCAGAACTGGAAATTAGGCAGAGTAACTGACATTTAGGGTCCTAACACTTACCAGTGGTCCGAATGAAGAAAGGTACAGAAGAAATCACGTGCATATAAGACCGACCAGCATTAGACCAAAGGCTCGAGACCGGTCCCCCGTTGTGTTACTTCGTTTTTTTGACGTGACACCATTGATGCTACCAGAGGAAACTTCACAAGTGTGTAGCCCACCCACAGACCCTCCGATAGTACGCAGCCAACCGTGTAGCGTAAACGAGAAAATTGCATCTACTGACAGTTCTGGACGGTCACTAAGTGCCAAAAGCCGCCAATCCGTTTCAAAGATTACGTGACCAAGTAGAGATCCCAAGTCGGAGGAATCTTTACCCTGACATTGTTTATTTGTACAGTAGACATGACATTTTCAATAACTCTTTGAGCGTTTGAATTTTGTGGTATTTTGAAAGTTTACTCTTAGCTACTGTACTTTTTACAAGCTCTCCTTTTTCTTAAACAAGGAAGGATGTTGATGTATTAGCGAGACTATGAGTACGCCCGCATTGAATGCCTACATGAACGTAATCACCCATTACACTTTGTAGCCTTAAATCTACCGTGTGCTCGATATAAGATGGCGACCGTTGTTTCTTAAATTATTTTCAGTGCTCACTCGACGCCTCCTGATTTCCCGTTTTTCGAATCAAATCAACAATCTGGACGCATACACGTTGTTGCGCTTTGTTTTTTTTCACCAAGCTTAGCTTGCCCCTATGGGCAACTATTAGAATTTAAATTTAATGAAAGATAGAAGCTGAACCATCTGAGTATGATTCAGTGTTTGTTAAATCCACCACCTAAATCGAAAAGGATGTGTCTAACCGATATCACAGCAGTGTCATTCAGGTGAAAATTTTATCTTCAGGAACTAGGCATTTGAAGTCAACTTCGTGATCTCAATCTCAAGATCAACCCTTTTACTAATGAGACAAATACATCCGGCGACTTTTCAATATGCTGCTGCAGGTAAAGAAAAGGATCTACGACTGTTTTTAAAATTAACAACACAGTATTCATACAATATAATGAATTAGTACGGAAACAAAAGGACCCCCTTTAAAATGTGTGATACTTATCCGTTCAAATGTCTCGGACAATACGAACTAGCTAAATTAAAAAATAATAATAATTTAGAGGATACGTATAAAGAAAAACACTTATCACAAGGAACGGGCAAAAAAATTAATTGAGTCTCCCTCAATACCCTCCGCGTTCTGTTTCCTGGTGCTACCTCAGTATTCTTTGTTTCGGAGTACAGCAGAAAATGATAAACATCTCAGAATAATTCAAAATAATGCGCGGAAAACAAAGCTTTTTCTTGCAGAAATATCTTGAAGGGTGTGATTAGCACAACATGAAAACTTAGAAAAAAAATTTTCTTCGAAAAAAGAGCACTTTACCGATTAAAATCAGCGAATTATGCCTCGTAGATCAGGAGATATAATTTTTCAGTTCTTGCGGTGACACCACAAAAGATTATAAAAATCTCATGATAATTACACGATGGCGTTATTCTACGAGAGGGCGTCTTAACGTTTCAATCAATACTAATACCCTTAAGAGCCGCTAAACTCGACAAGCAAGCAAGGCTTAACTAGGTGACCCTATTTGACGGAATGATAGAACAGTGGAATGGCCGCAATGGTGGAATATCCTAGAACACGAAATGTCTTGTTGTATGGAACAAGAGTCTCACAAAAATGGAATTACAATGGATACGGCAGACGCTCAAATTGAAACAAGCCGTAGATGCTATGCTTAAAAATGAATAGCAGGATATTGGTTATGGATATTTTATCCTAGACAGATAATGAAGTGCAGCAAATATTCAGACTTAGATCATGTAACGCCTGGTGTTAAGATTCCAGGAGTGTCACACGAAAGTTATTATTTTACAATCTCAATAATGCAAGCCGGATCTTATGAGAAAAAAAATGCATTCAATGGTTTTCATACAAAATTCACATTTGAACGTGCTTCCCTTTCCAGAATTTCTGGAGGGAGTGTCGCAGAATCAACTACAGTTTCCTGTCTAGTTGCAGATTTTTCCTTTCTACAAAACAATTTTAGTTTCTTCACTTCTTCCTTTATGTCCCTTCTCAGGAGAGTGTACACAAATGGATTCATGGCTGAGTTCGCAATAAGTAGGAGCCGACGAATCATTTCAACTATTTCAGTGTCATCACAGAGTTTTAAGACATTTTTGCACATCGTGTAATAAACTTCCAAGGCATAACAAAATACAAAGAGAAACGCAACCATCAATATCATCTTCAAGGCTCTTGGTCCTTCTCGCTGATTCTCCTTTTTTGCCTTTCCTTTCAATCTGTTTTTGTGTTTCGTTTGTTCCCTTTTAGCAATAATGCTAATTCGTAGGGCAGCGAATAAAATGAACAAACAAGGAAGAACTTCAAATATTATGATTATCGTAGGAAGAAAGTACTTGAATGCTTCTCTCTTATGCAGATAATAAACGGGAGTGAAGACAATACCACGCAAACTAATAGGAAAAAGCCACGAAATTGCGATCCAAATGGCCACAGTCCTTTCCGATGCCTTGACTCTGTGGTACATGGGTTTCGTGATGGCGAGGTAACGGTCAGCTGTCATGGCGCAGAGATTGCATACTGAGGAGTAAATGAAGATCCAGCGAAAAGCTCTCATAATACTTGTTCGGCAGGACAACCAACGATCACAGAAAAACAGTGGAGGATAGAGACTTACGGCAACCAAGGCATCCGCTACAGCAAGGGAAATTATGTACCAGTTGAGTTTGCTTAAGCGAAGTTTCCTTCTCAGGAAGATTAGAAAAATCACGAAAATGTTTCCAAACAAAGCTGTTATGGTTAACGTCCAAGCAATAGCCACAAACAGTGCTGACATGATGCCTACATGAGGTTTATTACTCTCCTGACGAACAGAAGGGCGGAATGTGCTCTTTAGGAAGTTCTAAAATACAAAACGGCGGATATCACTAAGTTCCTGTCATAGAATACAAACATTTATTTTTGCAATACATGATTATGCAAATTAATATCGATTTAGTAATGTAAAGTACGTATATTTCAAATTCGTTCTTTAATACCGGAAGTTTGATTCCATTTAACTAAAGCAGATTGTGATTAACGGAACAAATGCAATCAAATGAAGAAGAATCACCGAAAAGGTAGACCTAGACCCATTCGTGCAGAAAGTTCAATAGCATTACGATGGCTTTTAAATTTTCCAAAACTCGGACATCGTCAGGAGCATAAACTGTGTAAACACAGCACCGCTGTTTTGATATTTGCTTAAGGAGCTTCCTAGCTGGGCCGCTCTAATAAATACCTTAATGTTTCCTTATGTATTGGTAAGTTCGTATGTTGCAGCAAAAGTGAAAAGTCGCAAGGCTATTCATGTGAGACTAGCAACCAAGGTTGCCATATGAGTAGAGCAATCGACCATCAAATCGTGAATGGTTGTGTTTCTAAACCTTGTGCGAAAATAATTCTTGTGTTTTGTTTATATTTTTTTATGATTTTTCTTTTGGCATTATTGTTGCTACAATGCTTTCTGAGCTCCTGAAAATTTTTCAAAAAAATATACATATTCATCTTTACCTACTAATGAACAACTGTTTACCATTATTCCCTGTATTCCTTGAACTTTATACTCTCTTGATCCTGTACAGAGTGTGCGCTTAACATAATTTGTCAACTTGACATTCGAAAGGAAATGCTCATGAGTCCATAGTACAAAATCCAGAAGGGCAAATAAGTTCCAGGACAGTCTAATAGTAAAAGGTCTGCAGCTCATTAACCTCCAGTCAGAATTTCTTAATCTTCTTCTTATAACAAGTTCATTTCGTATGTTTGTTTTTTTATGTTATAGGAAGAAAGTTCCAATGAACAGCTGTTACAAAAAAGTTTTTCATTTCTGAACAATCTTCCAACAATTTTACCTGAAAGCCTCGACGCGTCCAAACAATTAAATGATGAACCATTACTTGGCGAAGAGCTTGGTCAACCTTTCTTGAATTATTAGATGCACCTGACTCATAATGGAATCGATCTATATTTGTTCTGTTCTACTCCTGATGATATCCTGAACAAACGAGTTTGAGAATTTAGCCACATCACCCTTCAATCAAACTTCATTTATTAAAGTAACTGTGTCATTATCAGACAGTGTGCAAATGTGAAAAATGTTTGCAATTTTTTTTGCTTTGTTCCGGTTTTTTTTCTGCAATCATTAATTTATATTTGCCCTAAGTGTTTTGTGGATACTCCCCACTCCTTAAAGGATTTTCCCATTCATTTTATAAATAAGAGAAGATATTGATCCCATAATTTCATGAAAAAAGATGAGAATAAAAAAGAAAATAAAAAAAAAGACTGCGTTCGCTTTGTTAAGCTGTCCGTACGATGGGGGTAATGATAGGGGTAGATATCGAGTAACTTTAGGGGACTGGTAATGTTTCAGTTATAGTTTGCAACTTTGACTGAGGAAAACTGGGTCATAACATCATATTTTTGAGAGTAAAATGTTTGTCAGTCACTGATAATGTGACGCATACATTTTCAATTCTAAATAAAACTCAACGATGACAAACAGACACAGATAGTAAGACGAACGATATGGACGAGTTAGGGTATTTCACAAAACATTTTTATCGATTAAGAGGAGTTTGACGATAGAAGAGTAATGATTCAGTAGTCGTAGCTACAAAATGTTGCTTAGCAATATCAAGATATACAGCGAAAGGTACAGGAAAAAATTTTCAATGGCATCATTGACCATGTGACTAGCAGCCAAAGAGCCAAGATAAAATGGATCGCACATGTTTCCCTGGGCCAAAGTTACGTACACCTCCCTAACGCTCGCTGTCTTCCGCAGCTATACGAGCATGCAGAAAATACATTCTACACGAGAATACATACCGTACGCCGTTTGTGGTTTAAAAAATTCTCAAAATAATACGTTTCACATATTAGATGTTTCAGTTGACAAAAGTGATTTTCAAACAGCGTCCCTTCCTTCCAGTTTGTAAGGAAAAATAGACCCAAGAATACGTTGTTTAAACAACTCAAGGGTTTCGTTGACCAAACTATCAAAAAGGGCGGCAACGACGTCAACGCACACGACACGCCTGCGCAGACGTTTTTCATCCCTGTTTCAGCCCATTGTCAACGCTCGGCGTTGTGCCAGCAATCTATTGCTTCAGATCATACGTATTCGTGTAGGCTTGGCCCACGTATCCTCTTCGTTGAGACCATTAAAAGCAACCATGCACTACATGTAGTTATTCATAATTGCTACAATCACGGAAATAATCTGAACAGCCTCTGCTCTACCATAGCACTTAAAGTCTACTAACAAACAATAACCACAATAACTCCAAATAATTGAATGTAGCATTTAACACCACCAAAGGTAGTCAATAAACCTAAAAGATAAAAAAATCAACATTAAGAATTCTTAAACTGTCCACAAAGGAAAAATTGGGACTTACGTTGAATTCAGCGCAATATGATGAACGGTTACAACAAGTTTCACTGGAACTTATTGAGTGATTTCATAACTATAGACTCTGTAGACTTCTTGTTAACTTTGGAATTGATCAATTGTGTGAATAACTTTATAGTTTGTTAAAGACTATCTGGACCAGCCTACTACGAATTTCAATTTATCCACATTTTGACAACGACTACTTGCTTGACTTTGACTTCAATACTATGCTTTTCTTCGCTGTTAGCTACATGATAAAAGGAATTTAATCTAGCACTAGCACAAGTCGAGTTTTGAAATTTTATTCTCAAGTAAATGTTTCCGCCAAAGGTAATGAGAGCTGTTTCCACAATTCTTGAACAAAAACTCCATCCATATCCGCGAAAAGTATATTGTCGTGATCTTGCATGTTGATGAGCCTCTGAGAGAAAAAAACAAAAGACAAATCAATTGAATTAATTTGAATAAACTTTTTAAAGAAAGATGGGATAAAAGCCTTGGATAAAATTTTTTTCTACATATTTCACCTGATATTGATTTTCCATTTTCTTAAAATTACTCCTAAGATTCTCATAGGATGGACGGTCGTCAGGATTCTCTTGCCAGCAATCTTGCATTATCTTGTAACCAAAAACCCAAAGTTGGTATTTTAAGTCTAATATAATTCAGTGCAGCTGAGCTACAAGGGAAGGAAGAGTAGGACCTGTACTTTAAACAAGTTGAAGAAAGCATTTGAGTTTCAACAAAGAAATGGTGAATTGAAGGATATTATTGTATGGCTGATTATATTCTTATTTTGTGCTCTTTTGATCTAGTACCTACTGCATCATCTGTAAACCATAAAGAAGGCAGGATCGATCCTGGCAGACTTCAACACCTCCTCTTGAAATTCTACCATCTACATCTACAAAAGTAAGGCTAAAAAAATAACAAGCTAAGAAAGAAAGAAAACATAGAACATACCAAACAAAGCAAAACTAATACACAAACTATCAAACACCCGCTTGTACGTAGTACAGTTGTATATGTAAAAGCACCTAGACATGCTCGTACTTATCATATCTACAGATCTTCGAAGGAACAACGATCCATCATCAGGTTAAATTAAATTCCATTAAACAGGCGCAGGATATGTTGAACTCTAAAGATAAGTTGATGGAACAGAAATTTTCACAATCACAAAAATTGCAGCACGATTTCACTTGATGTGTTGCAAATTTCGAACGATTACCGATGTCTCAGTGGCAATTCGAATGTTGTTGGTTATACTAGCAGAGGGCAATGACCTATTGAATTAATTTGGATATATCAACAAAGTTGAAATGGTAAATTGGCCACCGTAACGATTACAAAAGCTGACGTTTCGAGCGTTAGCCCTTCGTTTCGACGAAGGGCTAACGCTCGAAATGTCAGCTTTTGCAATTGTTACGTTGGCCAATTTACCGCTTCAACTTTGCTGATATATCCTAATTTTTCTAGACTATCGATAATGTTTATTGGCGTGTTCCCTTAACTGTCTGAAACACGTAATCCTTACATTTTAAAGTGGCTGGCAATGAAAGTGCCCAAAAAACTGCGTCTAAATCAACTTCCGAGCAGGTCTAAGTCATTATTGTTCTTTAGCGGTGGTTAATCATGGTCTAAGCATGGGTTAGACGATTACTTTCACAAAAGCTGTTTCAAATGTAGTAGGTAATTCAATGTACATAACTCTCTGCAAAATTAAAACAAATATTAATGGATGAATTGAGTTAATCAAGTACTAAACCAACACCGAGATGGATATGATAAATATGATAATAATGACGTGAATACTTTGCTCTGACCTTTTGTTGTCTCAATGTATTGCGAATTGCACACTTTAGTTTGCTTACATTATTTTATATTACCTTTACCTTACTCCAATTTATACAAATTGTACACGTGTATATCATACATGTGACAAAAGCTACCTCTAGTGAATGGATTTACATAAACTTTACATAAACTGACGTTTCCTTCCGCACTGTCCAAACCTTATAGGCTAAATATTTCTGTCAGAGCCCCATGTACCTGGGGCAAATAAACTTTTAAACTAGTTTGAGAGGTGCTAAGCTCTCTTACCATTAGTTTAGCTTTTGGATAGCTTATGGAGGCTTTTCATTTTACCCAATTATTCCTGAATATTTTTTCTCACAACGTTATAACCTCTTAGGAAACCCTTCATTTTAGCTTTGTCTGCCTACATCTCAGAGATGCGTTCCATTTCTCATTGTCTGATTGAAATCAGCAAATCACTCTTCACCCATTTTTAAGGAATAAAAAGAAAAGTTTCAGTGATGCTTCACATAAACAAGTCTCTCCATTGCAAAAAAGTGAAATAGAAATATGGCAAACTGACATAATGTGTTAAGGATATACAAGAAGCACCAAGTAACGAAGGACAACTGTATACACTAATTGCGATATTGAGACGGCAATACAACATTATATTGACGGCTAGTTGGGAGAAAATATATTCCGTGTCACATCGTTACAATTTTTATGACTGTAAAAGTCGAATTTTCAATAAATACTGTTGAACTTAAAGTGAAATATTTGTACAATAATTTGAATGCGGCGGTAATTTGTTTGTGTACGTCAGCAACCCAATTTAGTGCAACGACGTCGACTTCGTAGTATTGCCACAAAAGTTAGACGGCAATGCTACGAAATATTGACGGCTCGCGCATAGCCAAAACTATAAGAAGATCGCGATACTTGTATTTACTTACACCACACATCAAATCTTGTCACATTTGTCGCATTCCCACACTCATTATTGTCTTCACACTTGTAGTCACCAGCTTCACTCCTGCCAACGTTTTCAACCTTCAACGGGTTTCTACTAACACGTTCAATCAATCAATCAATTCTTTATTTAAACACGTGACACCTAGGAGTACAGAAGTTCTCGTTAAAACGTGTACGTGTATGTACAGTTAGAAATAAAACATAATTTCTGTAAGAATATAATTAATAAGTAGATATATTAAATAACTACAAACAGGATCAAAGAACATAGACAAGAGCTATCATCAGAAACTTACAATATGAACAATATTTACAATCACCACCGCTAAGCCATGTGGGCTTTAAGAGAACGCTTGAATGAAACAATATCTTGAGATTCTCTGAGTTTAGGGGATAGCGCATTCCAAAGTTTACTAGCTAAAAATTAAAATGACCGATGTAAAAAATCAAGATTAAAAGG